TATATATATATATATCGCCCCCTTCTCCCCTCTACCCCCATACATATCCCATTACCCACGACATTCCCTGAGTAACCTTCTATAACTCATCTCTTCCCAACCCCATCCCTGCTTACGCCACCCCTTAACATACAGCACGGCCAACACGCTACCCTCCCACCATCCCCAATAATACTACTCCAAATACTTACCCATGCCTAACCCTCGTCCTTTTTTTCTCTCTCTCTCCCCCCTCACAGTGCCTACACCTCGACATATCCAAACCTCCCGAAAATATATGACTACCCATCTTTTTACGCCCCCGCCCCCCTATCCCCCGCCCCCAACACTATGCCCCCCTTTTGCAGAAGCACATACCCTCCTGATTCCCCCACTAATTTAGGGCACTCGCACATAGATATCTCACTCACACCTAATATACGGATGACTGATCGATGGAATGCTTTCGTTTTTTTCAAAAATATAAGACATGTATAAATGAAACACTGTCGCACACGCGCGCACACACACTGAATTGTTGTCACTTCCGTACTGTAACCCAAATTGCAGTCAATTATGCCCTCCACTTCGGCGCACACGGCCGTACACTTACCTACGCGAAGTTATTCCACCTACCAACACGAAATTTCAGACATAGCTCATCACCATTGTGACGCTCGTCAATGAACAAATCAGTAATATACCAACAGTTAAATAACGATACTGTCATCATTGTTAATTTTTCTGACGAGGTTTTCCTTTAAAGATTTTTGTATGGCATAGAATATTTAGTGCGGCAAAGTTGCCTCTACCCAAGGTTTTTTTTCGGGAACGCCCTAACTCCTTGTCTGTACGCTGACACAAAATATGGCATCAGAGTTTTCCATCCCCCCCGCTCTCGCCCACGCCCTCGCTCCTTCTCACACTCCCCCGCTCTCGCCTTCGACCTTTCTAACTCCCCCGCGCCGTCCGTCTCTCTCTCTCTCTCTCTCTCTCTCTCTCTCTCTCTCTCTCTTATTTTTTGTATTTTTTTATTATTATTTTTTATTCTCTATGTTCTTTTTTTTTTTTTTTTTTTTAAAAAAATTTGTATGTCCTTACTCCTTTCCGCTCTTTTTCGCCCTCTGTCTCTCTTCCTCTCCCTCTCTCTCTATGTCTCCATCACTCTCTCCTTCCAACGGTTATACACACACACACACTCTCCCTCTCTCTCTCTCTCTCTCTCTCTCTCTCTCTCTCTCTCTCTCTCTCTCGCTCAAGCACACGCACACACCCATAAACTAACTATGTAATGCTCCACACTCCGGCAGAAGTCATCACAATACCTCCTTCTATCTCCTGGTGTAGCTCACAATGGTATACGTAGTAACCTTATCAAAATTTCTCGATCAATGCACACCACATTTGAGCACTAAAACTCTGATCATCACAAACCGCTGAGCAATAGAAAGCACCACACCATGCACGAACATTCTTTTTCCGCACAGACTCCCCCGAATGATTGTATTTTCCAAATCATAACCCCGAAAATCGCAGCCCAACATGTCCAAGTCATCGACAGTTTTAAAACTGACCTCATGGAAATATACTAACAAAACCTAAACACAAACACCAACCCCATAACCCTCACTAAACAAAAAAAATGGCACGACGAATATCACAGACCCTTGTTCCCTTCCTTAAACTACAATGCAAAAGAACACCTGCACTACCAAGTTACCAACTAACCCACAAAACCGTATAGATCCACCCCTAACAATACACATGAGCACATAGCTCACAATGAAGCTAAAAAACACCCAATCAATGGCGGATCCAAAATAGGCTCCCACTCTTCTACTCCAGTCACATGCCCATCTTGCCTCCTAGTTATAACTGATAGTAGCATGCGCACGATCCCCTCCATGATATTCCTCCTTCCCCCCCCCCTCCCGCACGCCTATCTGGGACATCGTCATCTTGCAACTACACCCACATAACCCAAACATAAGCACAGAACCAACAATCCAATTGCATCGTCCTCACATTTGCGAAACTCAGTTGTCAACCGCAACATAGCCGAAAACGCGATTTCGACGAAAATCTTAATGCCCCAACGACATACCACCATAGATGCTACGTCCACTCCACGCGAACACCGTCTCACTCCCTCTGAGGTTACCCCCAATCCCGATCCCCCTACCATGTATCCCGGCAACACAGCATACCCAAGTACGCCCTCCTCTCCCAACAACTAGACTTGCCTACACTTACCCATGCTCCCACACACACCGCTGCAGCTTACATACCCACACCGGTGGTTGCCCGTATCCTGTCCCGCCCACTGACCCATACTCTCACTTACCCTTTCGCACACCAACTCCGCGCTCATCCTTTTCGACGCCCCGCTTCTTCCCTTCCCCTCCCTGTCTCTCTCTCTCTCTCTCTCTCTCTCTCTCTCTCTCTCTCTCTCTCTCTCTCTCTCTCTCTCTCTCTCTCTCTCTCTCTCTCTCGCCCGCGCTCCCCCCCTCTCTCTCCCCCTCACTTTCTGACCCTCTCCCTCCCTTTTTCTACCCCTCTCTCTCCCCTGCTCTCTCTCTTCCCCCCGTACCGGCAACCACTCACACACCTTTCTATCTGTCCCCCTCTCTCTTGCGTCCTCCCTCTCTCTCCCCCTTCCTATCTCTCGCACGTGCGCTCTCTCCCTCCAGCTCCCCCCCTCTCTCTCTGTCTCTCTCGCTCTCCTCCTCTTGGTCCTTTTATATCCACCTAGATCACCGCCGCACCTGTGTTACGACCATCAATACATGTCAGCTCGCAGCTCACCGTGAAGATACGGCCGCCCTATCAAGGGAGGATTCAAAATCGTCTCCCATTCCGCTATCCCAGTCATTTTCCCATCACTGGCATGCTCAATAGCTATAACCGAAAGTAACATCCGCACAATCTTCTCCACTATATCCTCTACCCTTCCCGAATAGCTATCTGGAACATCCTCGTGTAGCTTGGTAACGAAAACAGACGCATCACGCAAATCCGCACCCACATAACCCAAACCTAACTCTAAGCGTAACACCAATAACCCATTTGCATCCACTTCATACCGTCGAAACCCATATCGATTGTCGGCGGCTACGAAGCCAAAATCCCGCTCCGGACGAAAATCTCGGTGCTCTGTCATCTCGTAAATAACCACCGTCCGGCCCGCCACTTGCCCACGACATATCACCTGTGTGGCCATGTTTGCCCCGCTCGAAGAACTGGTGCCACCCCCTACAAACACACGTACACCCTGTCCAAATCAAACCCCCTTCGCACACCCTTGTTTCCCCTCTTCTCTTCCCCCGCCCACCACCGTATACTTCAAAAACACAATACAACCAATTGCCCCCTTCCCCGATCACTAGGCAAGCTCTCACTCCTTCCCACAGTTATACACACATACACATACACATGCGCGCATAACACATGTGCCCTCACTTGCACTCACTCTCATGCCCATGCACCATAATCTCGCCTCGCCCCCTCCCTCCCGCATGCCGATGCATTCCCCCCTGCTTCCCTTTCGTTCTCTAAACTTCAATCCCACTCTCTCTTACCTTCGCTTACCACAAATATTATTCTCGGCCAATATCGCCCTCTCTCCCTCTCTCTCGCTCGCTTTCCTCCCCCTCTCTCTCCCCTCCTCCCCCCTCCCCCTCCCCGCTCTCTGGCACCTTTTTATACCCCCTATCTCCGCCCTATGTCCCCCCTCCCCCTCGTCAAACTACCGCCTCGACTTACACACACGCATACAACCCCCCTTCTCCCTCGTTAACACTAATCTATATCATCCTCCCCTCCTTTCTCTCTCTCTCACTTCTTCCACTGACATGCTACCCTGTGCGCACCTGCGCTCGACCCCAACTCAGCTTGCCCTGATGAGCCAACAAGGTATCTTCCACCGGACAATCCGTTCTTAGAACACCATGCTCAAACATGGAGACACCACCTACCAATCACCATTCTACTAACTCGGCTTACACACACATGTACGCACAACTTCTCTCATTTTTCTCCCCCGATGAAGTTCTACCTTGCGCACACCGACGCTCGATTCCAACTTGGCCGGCCCAGAGGAGTCAATAAGTCAATCTCCATGACAAACCGATTCCAGAACACCTATATCAAACGAGGAGACACTACCAACCACTCCCATACCCATGTACAACCGACACGCATATATATAGGGAGCTGCTGACTACATCCCTTATAAAATTTTGGGACATCAACATTGGCCTCAATCCCCTTCCAAACTAGGTGTCGATTATAACCAAGAAAACCCATGCATATGGACCCACCAGTAATCTGTACCCGTTACCCCTTTATGACTAAACCCCATATAACACCCCCAATACAAAGCAATGTACACATATGCAAAATATAATATACAATTCGATGAAACAAGTTGTCACAGCCCCCCGGTTGGTGTTCTTTCCCCTTTTTTTTCTTTTTTTCTTTTTCTCTCTCTCCGACAATGGTTATCGGGCAGATCCTCTTGTGTCGATATATATATATAGCCCCTCGGTTGATTATCATCCCCGCCTACGATCTACCGGACAGTTACGGCTGTATAGATTATCAACTTTCTTGCTCTACTATACGCGCTCACATATATATATATATATATGTATGTATATATATCAGTCTCCTGATGAGTCGGTGAAACTCCGACGAAACAGTTTGTCACAGCCCCTCGTTTTTTGTCCTCTTCTCTCCCTCTGCCTACGGTTTACCGGGTAGTTCTGTTTGTGACGATATATACTACGACTTCGCTACCTTCCTGCTACGTTTGTTCCGGTCAGGTCGAGCGGCAGTGGTCGGGGCCGTTACTAGGCGGCCATGCTGTGCCTCTAATGCCAGCGGCGTGTCTGGAGTGTATTTTTTGGTTGTGACAGACCTTTCTTTGTTTCGTGGATGTTTTG